AGCTTTTTCATCCTAAAACTTGAGCTGCGTTACATTTATCTCTAGTCCTAATGCCTAATACCTACTTTCAAGATCTTTACTATGCAGCTCCAAGTATTTTTCCCTTCTCAGCTTCAGATTAATGCCGTTGGGAAAAGTAGCTTTCCTATGACCAGTAACAGAACTTAGTACATGCCTGAATTATTCTGACATTTTGAAGCATTACTTCTGAGGTAGTTTTAGATTTTTTGGGGGGCGTGGAGGGGGAAGGAAAAAAAAGTCACCTGGTGCTTATCTCTGCTTTCCACCACTTATGGTAAAAAGTTGCTTTAGGAGGCAAGAAAAAGCACAGCTTCTTTCCCATACATTTATGCCACAGTGAATTGGGCAATGGAAATGTGACATTCACTCCTGTGTATGCTATTGGTCTACAGGTTGCTTGTCTCAATTTCTTCAGTATAAATGGAGACTGGCACACTTCTAATCCTTCCAAAGAACTTGGAAATGTAAAAAAAAAAAGCATTCTAAAAAGCCTGATGCTTCAATCTTAGCCATCCGTTGCTTCTCAGCTAAGTAGCTGGAGACCATATTCTTACACAGTTCGCTAATGCAATATTCACAGAGTAGCCAAACTACTCTTTCTTCCTCCTTGAAACTAAGAACCTAGCAATTCACACTGCAGGTGCAGTGCATCTTTAAGACATCCTCTAGTCTTTCTAAAATATTTAGATCACAGGAAAGCAAAACTGGAGCACCAATCTTTCCAAACATGTGGCAATGGAACCTTATACATTTATTTCAGGCATATGCTTTTACAGCAACAATGCTGACTAAAGCTTGAGAACAGACGAAAGAAGCTGACAAAACCTAGAAGCGTTATTCACCACCTCAAAAAAGCCCCGACCCGCAATGTGCCTTTCCCCCCCGGCCCCAAAAATACCAGGCAAAAGATGTACTGTGACTGCAGAAAGCAGCCAACACAATCTGGTTATGCACTTTCGGAAGCTTCTGGCAAGCACTCAATAATTGCTGGATTTTTTTAATCAAACAAAAACTAAGCAGTACAGAATCATCAGCTCTTAGTCATTAAGCGCTCAGGGAAAATTCTGAATACAAACATACACACATTACAATATAGAACGTAGGAGAGGTAGGTTCAGAACCCCCATTCTTTTAGTTTATTTCAAAAGCCAAAAGCTATGCAGTACTATGGCTCTGTTTGTCCTTGGGGTGTAGGTACAACTAAATAAACACAAAAACCCCTGAAAGATCTTGCAGCCAACAACGGACACAGAAAATAACTGTTTCGAAATACAACCATGAGGTTGTCCCAGCAAAAAAACATCGATGAAAAAGGTGTCTAGTCACCAGTCCACATATATATTTTAGCTGAGCACCCAAATTTTAAGATGAGTTTTCTCCTCCCATTGTTATGCTTATGTTCAGTATAAATTTATTACGCTGGAGAAAAGACAACAGCACACTGTCAAATTTATTAGTTTCTAAGACTGCATTTTTATGTTTTAATAAAAGCAGGCACAATAACCATTATTCTAAGCTGAAACTCCTTCACTGAAGTTTCCTCTCAAAGTGTTTCTCTGAAGCTATTTATTGCCTGGTCCTGCCGCTCCGGAACACCCACTTGGACTTCCTAGTGAGGAAAGGTACATTGTCTTTTTTTGGCTGTTCAGTTAGAAATGCCAAAAAAAATTATCTAAATGGAAAAACACTGCCTTCAGATAATATAACCATCATTCATCCTGCTGCACTGCTGTGAACATTTCTAACTTTGTTTACTTTGCACATGACCATACTCTAGGTCCACTCACAGGTATTCAGTGAACAGTCATACTGAACTAGTGCACTGTGAAAACAAATCTAGTAACTCCTGCCCATAAAGCAATATTCCAGCTAGTTAGGCCATATTAAAGTGTATTAAATAATGAACTCCCTTCTTCCTGCTAGAATTCAGCTTTTGTTCCTACCAGATCAAAATAAAAATCTGATCTGTGCAGCAATGAAAAGGACTCTGATTTTAAGCATATATAAGAAACCACAACTTATTCAATTATCTGAAGTCATCCTAGACAAAGATTGAGAACTAGAGATTTTTCCAAGGTTCGTATCTTGACAGAACTTATATGGTGAATGAATATCTTTTAGATAGCATAAACCATAAATCAAAACCCCTCGAAACCTATTATGCAATGGTAAAAAACATTAACACTGTGTAAATTTGGTAGATCTGCCAACAATAGAGCTACAAGCAATCATAGTCTCCAATTTGATAATATATCCTATTTTCTGTACAAGAATCTACCAAATTTATATATATCCTTGCTAGTTGTAATGCTTTAGATGGACAACAGCTAAAACACTTAAAGAATTTATAATTCTCAGTTTGTATAAAACGAGGTATCTCTGAACATAAACAATTCCTATAATCCAACTAATTCCTCCGGTAGTTTCCTCGTATGATGACTTAGAAGTCTGTAGTCTGCTGTACCCTGCCAATTTTACTTTCAGTATTAAGGCAAATCAAAAGAATACAAGCAAGAAGGAAAATACAGATTAATATTACTGTGCTGGTTTTGGCTGGGATAGAGTTAATTTTCTTCACAGAAGCTAGTATGGGGCTATGTTTTGGATCTGTGCTGGAAACAGTGTTGATAATACAGGGATGTTTTAGTCACTGCTGAGCAGTGCTTGCACAGTATCGATGCCTTTTCTGCTCCTCACCCCACCCCACTGGAGAGTAGGCTGGTGGGACAGCTGACCCTAGCTGACCAAAGGGATACCCCATACCATATGACGTCATGCTCAGTCTATCAAGCTGGGGGAAGAAGAAGGAAGGGGGGGGGATACGTTCGGAGTGATGGCAGTTGTCTTCCCAAGTAACTGCTACACATGATGGAGCCCTGCTTTCCTGGAGATGGCTGAACACCTGCCTGCTGATGGGAAGTAGTGAATGAATTCCTTGTTTTGCTTTGCTTGTGCGGGCAGCTTTTGCTTTACCTATTAAACTGTCTTCATCTCAACCCACGAGTTTTCTCACTTTTACTCTTCTGATTCTCTCCCTCATCCCACTGTGGGGGGAGCGAGCGAGCAGCCGCGTGGTGCTTAGTTGCCAGCTGGGGTTAAACCACAACAATTACATACTTAGCAGCTGAGAAAGGAATTTCTGCTCCAAATTGGTCTCAAATTTTATAATAATGCATAGTTATTTATAGCAAGAACTTTCTTGAAAGATTGTAAAATATAGCTTTAAAAAATGACCCTACTTAATTTAGTTTTAACTAAGATAATGCTTTCCTTTGTAACAGTAGACTCACATTTCACTTCCTTATATTTACATCAAGTAAGATCATTCCTAAAACATTCCGTTTGGAAAAGAAAAGTGAAAAGTTTTAAAATACCAATTATTGACCACTTTAAATTTCAGGGGAATTTTCAGTCTTAATTTTTCAATTTCAAAATTAAGAATGCCGATATTTTCAAGGCAGGGACCATGCCTTAACATAGCTTTACTCTTGCATGTAAGACAACAGCGCCTTGATCCTGTTTGAGATCTTTGCACATTACTACCGAAACGTTAACAGGAGTACTAATGCTTATAATGTCTGTTAAGTAAAAACATTGCCATCTAACAATTCCTTGAACAAATTCAAGAATTGTGAGTCTGGTGATAATCACTGCTATGCATTATTTTGAGTGCTTGGGAATATATTAGCAAAATATAACTCTCACTATTATTTAATGGCAACCTAGCACACACACACAAAAAAACCAAAACCAAAAAAAACCCCCCAACAGATTCCAAATAAGGACTTTGGAGATTAGCTTCAATTCATTCAAGTTTACCTAACGAAGTTAGTTATTTAGTTTAAACGCTTTCTATTGGAGGAGTAGTTATCCAATTTAACAAAAAGGGGGCAAATCACTCTTCTTACATCATATATATAGTGCTCTTAAATAATGAGGCTAAACTAGAAACCTTACTTTTAGAATGGTTGAAGAGGGGTAAGATAAATCCCAGTTCAGATGCCTATGTATAAAAAACGGTGCCTCTAAGTATCTACTATTTCAATGACATACTGCTTCAATTAAAAAAAGAAGTCAGATTTCTTCTATTCTTGGTGTATCTCATTCTTCTTAATAAGTTAAAGACTATTTTACAAGAAAATAACTTATCACTGAAAACACACTGAACTAAACAAAGATATTTTCTATAGAAATGAGACACTGAATGCAGTTTCACATTTTTTTCAGTCCTTGAATCTATTACCTTGGAATTTGCATGTTTATCTGAATATCGGAAAACATTTCCAAAACCAACATTACAATGAGTGTTTGAAGTCTAGCTTCTTAGCATTTTATTCAGAAATTTAGTGCTTGAGCCAATCCTACTTAAACTCATCAGAAGTTTTTCTTATGACTTTATTAAGTGTTCAGTATTAGTCTAAAATCTCTTGTCACTTGTATTTGGAGCTACACAGGAAAAAATCTGAAAATAATGATACTGTACATTTCACCAAATATTAACTCTGCCTCTGTAGAACTGTTATTGCTACTGCTGACCCACAAGCCAGAAAGACTACAACTTGAATTTTAGAAACCAGGCAGTATCTGCACTACTACTATTCTAAGTATTAAAAAATTGTTTTTAAAGAATGTAAAAAGCTGAGAACTAATGGAATGCTTCTTGTCCTTTGAGTTGCAAGACTGTAGTCAAGTAAGACCCCCGCAATGCCATACATAAGGACTTCTACTGACTATGATTACTATCACAATGGTGTTGATCTAATGATTAACATTCTACACTGCAAAACAGTTGGATTAGAGGCACAAAAAAATCCACAATTCATCCTGAGTAAAGAAAGATAATAATCAGTTGGTACCCTTAATAGAGAACAGAAATATAATTTTAATCTCAAAAAAGCTTGACATTGCAGTCAAATGACTATTTTTGCATTCTCATCCAAACTCTGTCAGTATTCTCTCTCTGTCTCAATGATTCTCACCTCTTCCTAATTTCTGAATCCACAAGGAGTTGCCTCTTTTTGTGGGGTGGAGGTGGTGGGAGTTCCTCTTTAGCATGCTTAACCAGGATTTGTTCTCTTGTGGTCACCATAGTTACAGTTTCCATTACAGTTGTCTCTGTTAGTGATGTCTGAGTGGTAGTGGCAGCCTGTGAAATCTGTGAGAAGTATTAAAACAGAGGTCACACATTGTTTGAAAGACTTCAGTAAAGACTGTTTGGAATAGCAATAGAAAATAATGAGAAACTGCTTCCATCTGAACATAGGCTGACCTTCAGAAAAAAATAACATTATATGCAACTCAAATAAAATTGTTTTATCTCACTCATGCTGTGTGAACAAGTTATCTGCAGAAGTCAATATCAAAATCGGAAAAGATCCTAAACAGAATGAACTTACGGCTCCCTCTAAATCATGCTGAATGAAGAAAAAAATGAATGGTCAATTTTATGAGGAAATTGAGTGATAGCAAATACATAAAATGTTACTATTGCTGTATGTTACTCTGCCTCCATTCTGTAGATTTACTCCTTGAGAAGTAATAAAGGCATGGTAATGGCACTAAATTACCAATTGTTATTTTTACCATTTATAATAATTTTCAAACTAGAACATAATTCACCACAACCTACTTGCACAAAAGGGCAGTTAGCTTTCTGTCAGGAAATCTTAAATTAGAAAACATGCACTAGAAGGCAAATTAATTTGCATCAGTGTTATTCCATAATTAAAAACTAATGTTAAAGGGTCGTAACAAATACTAATACACATAATATGTAACACTGTAAACACTACCAGTCTAATGCATTTAACTTTGCCTGGTAATACAAAAATAAAACCTTCATATAGTTCAGCTACATAAAAAAAAGGAACGATGAGAAATATTTTCTGCTCATATTTGTTTGAAAGATACTGGTTGTACATGTACTGCCTGTTTATATTTGTTTCCATATAACACCAGACTTCCCACTGAAACATGGACAGCTGTTCTTAAGTCCCTTAACTCATGAGAAATGGGTCAGTTCTTTTTTTGGTTCTGTCAGATGATGGCTCATTTGTCAAAATGCTCTAGTTACAGCTCCAATGGCCACCTCACAGTTCAGGGGCAGTGAAATGGAAAATAAAAAAGAAGTTACACCAGGAGCAGGAAAAGCTGTGCACCAGAAGAGCCCTGCTTCTTTGCTTATTGCCAGTGTGCAAGAATGAGAAAGACTTTTAGGAATGCCAGTATCTAAAATTCCATGAAACTATATACACATACATAAATAATCTATGAGTTCTTGCATTAGAAACTCCGTGGAGTGTTGAGTTACCTTAGTTACTGAGACATTAGTGTTTCTATAAACAATGGAGAAGACACATACCAGGTAATTAACTATAACTTCTTTCCCACAATATTGAAAAAAGAGTGACAAGGAAAGGGAGATACTGTTAGCAACCAGCCTTTTCTCAGCAGGCAACACTAATAAAGGTAAAAAAAACTTGGAGAAAACCCAAATTCCTGCCAGCATTGCTGGTCTTGTCCTGGTTTCAGCTGGGATAGAGTTAATTTTCTTCCTATTAGCAGGCATAGTGCTGTGTTCTGGATTTAGTAAGAGAATAATTTTGATAACGCACTGATGGTTTAGTTGTTGCTGAGTACTGCTTATGCTAGTCAAGGACTTTTCAGCTTCCCATGCTCTGCCAGGCGCACAAGAAACTGGGAGGGGGCACAGCCAGGACAGCTGACCCAAACTGGCCAAAGGGCTATTCCATACCATGTGACGTCATGGTCAGTATATAAGCTGGGGGGGGTTGGCCGGGGAGCCCGGGGTGGTGATCACTGCTCAGGGACTGGCTCGGCATCGGTCAGCAGGTGGTGAGCAATTGCATTGTGTATCACTTGTGTTGTATATTCTTTTATAATTATTATTATTATTACTCTCTCTTCCTCTTCTGTCCTATTAAACTGCCTTTATCTCAGCCCACGGGTTTTACTTGTTTTTTCCAATTCTCTTCCCATCCCACAGGGGTGAGGAGGAGGGTGAGTGAGCAGCTGTGCAGTGCTTAGTTGCCAAGTGGGGTTAAACCACGACAGGTCTTCAAAACAAAAAAGTCTTCCTGCTCTTTGTCCAGTCTGCCAGTGAAAGTGATGAGTAGGAAAGTCCATTATCACTGTAATTTTGGCAATCTTTCTTAAAGCAGTCAGCGCTTTTCTTCCCCCTCCAGAAATGACCAGCTCTCTAGGCTTTAGAGCAAAAACTGGACTACTCAGAAGACTACAAAATTAAGATTCAAAGCAGAATTATTTTTAATCTCTGGATTAATTATGTCAATTGGAGTAAGCTGCTTGTGGACTGCAGGGACTTAGCTCACGTACGAACTATATAAATTTTTGGAAGAGCAAAACACCCAGTTGACTTTTTAATCACTACAATATTATGTATTAATACTTTTGTCTTAGTTCCCTCAACAAGATGTATTGACTTTGATATTTTCAACTACAGAAATTGTAACAATAATAAGGAAACATTTCCATATAGTTTTATTAAAACTTATACAGATTTCTTTTAAATTTTATTTTTATTTAATTTTATTTTGGGGCAGAAAGGAAAAGCAAATTAAAGCTTCTGAGTTCTAAGGTTCTATGAAATTTGAGGATAACACCTGATGTCATCTTTCCCTGGGTTGACTCTGTAGGTAAGAACACACCAAGTAATTGCTTGCTCCTTACATACAGTTTTGGGTACAGTCTCCCTTTCCTCCTTCTGACAAAATTCTTATTACACTAGGTTTTATCCAAAAATCAATGATAGGATGATGTTTCTGACACCTGAGGTCATATCCTGTCATGTTTCCATTTGCCAATCATTACCAGGGTACACTTTACAGTGAAGAAGGTGTAAACCAGAACAAACCACAACTAGGGAGCTATAGGAGTCTTCTGCAGCATACTACCAATTACACAGGAGTAACAGCTTTAGCCGGTGGCTGGGAACTGTACTTCAAAAGCAGTCAGTGCAATTATCATATGCACAGAGCAGTCAAGTCACAATGCTGCGTGGGGTAATGATTTACATATCAAAACAGTAAAGAATTTTCATGCTTAGTCAATAGGAGTGGAGGTTAAATACTATATACTTCAAAAGGAGAGTGGAGATGTGAATTTAAAGCTTATAATCATTCTAATTAGAGACTGGGTGAGACTAAAAGGTACTGAAGATTACACTGCAATGTAACTCTGCAAGATGGAGTTAGTGCACATTTAAAGGGTGTACACACTTTAGAAGGTAAAAGAAAATCCTTAAAAATTCAAGGAAGTAACAAAAAAGAAGTAGCTTTTATTAGGTTCCCTGTCAAAAAAAGAACAACCCACCTCTTAGATCTAATCACTGGTGTGGTGTGTTTCATGTATTATTCAAAGATGGTCCAAATACTGACCATATAGTTTCCTCATCCCTCTAAGTTCCTGACAAACAAATATGAATCTAAGAAGGGGTGATACAGTCTAGGCCTTTAACCCACTAGAAAATCATATGGAAAGCGCCTAGGTGACTCATAAGGCTGCACATTAAAAGGCTTTCAAAATACAATGCTTGCCTGCAGTTTCACATCAGCAAGCTCATCTTGGAAACATGTTAAAACTCATCTCTTTTCAGAGCGCACAAATTTAATCTTCCTTTTCATCCTCTACAGGCAAACTTATGTATAATGTGTGTATAGCACTTCAGTAGTTTTATGTCATTTTATTTCTCTTTTATATGGCAGCCTACCTTTAATGCCATCATTTACTACTGCCTTTGGAATTGCCCTCAGTCTTGATAAACTCATAATTTTCCTTAACACTCACTTTTGGAGCTGTTATCTGTTGTTTGATGAAATGTATGTATGTGAGTGGGGAAGTTCAGAGGAGGAATACTGTTTTCTTCAGTTTGGGAAGGTTTTCAGTACAATTTAGTGAAGCACAATGAACTCACCAAAGGTGGGTTTAGAGTTTCTAAAAGTTAGACAACTAGTCTAAGCAAATAGTCCTTGTCCTTGTTTTCACTGTGTCATCAACAAAGGAAAGCTGACATTTTCATGATGAGGACAAACAGCTTTTCTTAAAAGGTATCTCTCTTTCTCACCCTTGCCATCCACTCATTTGCAGCAGAAGCTTTAGCCACGAGTTCAGATTAGATGCTTAAATTCAGCAGCAATGAATTCAGCTAAATGTGGGAGGACTCACATTCTACTTTCTGCACTTTTCCTTTGGGATGTAGAACTGCTTCTTACATCTAGTTGGAGAATCAGCTTTGAACTGAGGCTGAGGTTGTCTGTTCCATTTAATTCCTTATTTTGTTAACAAGTTAATAATTTAGTGACACTTTAGTAAGAGAGGGAGGGGAAATAACTAATGACAAAAATGTAATTATGAAGGTACTATAAGAATTATTAATGAATGGAATAAAGTTCATTTTAAAGTCAATATCTAAGTTTGATAAATAAAATGTGCATTTTCTGATAGATTTTAGTGAAAAGCATTGTATTTGTCACCCTCTTCCAACTCCCCTCCTCCCCAGTTCATTAGAGAGAATAATTAGATCTTTTAGAGGCATTTTTTTCTTGCAGTCTAAATGTGTCAATGAGCTTTGTAATAAATAAATGTATAAACCCAATAACATTATCCACCCTGCTTAGATAGAAACACATGGCATCAGTACTTCATAGAGGACATATCTAAACTGTGTAACAGTGCCTTAGGAAGCGGTCCTTCAGTTAGCACTGAATGTGCAGTGTCTCCAGAATTGGAAGCAATATGCCCACAACAGTATACCAACTCTGTGCCAAGCAAAGTAGCTTCTCCTTGGAGGAAAAGCTTATTGACTGAAGTGTGCTGCTATGATAAGACAGTTACACTGTTTTGGGAATACAAACTGTCTCCCACCTGTGCTTCTTTACGATGTATGAATGTGCAGCCTCAGGATTGCTCATTTCATGAGGAGGCTACCTTTTCTGTAATCTAAGTTCCATTTTCAAAACTAGTATCTGCCTTTAGGATCGATCAACAATCTAAATAACTCTTGAACACTTTGGAGTGAGTTACTAACTTCTTCCAATCATGTGACCCTAGCCATCCCAAATTAAAAATGCATCTCTGGATTTTCCTCTGCACTGAAACAACGGGTTTCCTGCAGCAAATATGCAAGAGTTAAATTTTCAACTGTTACAAATGCTGTGTAGCACAAACTGGATTTGCCTTCTGTTACTAAGTGAGGTTGTACCCTTTCCCCATTTTCTTCTGTTCTCCCAAAGCGTTTTTTCCAGCTTCAACTACACAAGCAACTGTGTCACAGAGGAAACTAAAAGAGTAAGGTACGAGTTGGAAGCAAGGTTACTGGCAGGTATTCAGATCACTACAGGAAGTACAGAAGCTTTCACCTAATTACCCAAACATAAGTTGGTAGAAGCATTAGTATATAGCAACAAAAAGGTGCAGCACGGTCAAGGGAATTGAATCAAACTGACCAGAACTGTGAGAGACCCTCTAGGGACAGGACAGAGGTGCATGCAGTAACATTCTGCTCCGTTATCATTAAAAAGTTTTAATGTCCATTTCCATTTCACCAGTCATACAATGACAGCACAAAAATGACTCAATGAGATAATGGAATGGAAAAAAGTGAGCTGATTTGGGTTTAAATCCACTAAGAAAGAGGTGCTGACAGATGGCTAGGAAAAACAAGTATCTTTTCGATACTACACCAGAGCACTGATTTTTGTTATCTGGTTTAAAAAATATGGAACTTTAAAACCTCAATTTCTTTTTTAATATATTACAGTTACCATAAAGCAGCTGGGCAAAATAATAGCGGAATTTAATCATTTTTCACTGTCATTTTGGCTACAGGTATGGATTGATTTATTTATTTTTCCAAGAAACTTCTCTTTTTATGGCCTCTCTTTTTAATCTGTAAATCAGCATAACATAAGCAGAAGTAAACCAGTAATCTATTATAAACTTTCACTGTTGAAAAGAAATTAAAAAAAATTCTCTTTAACTAGCAAACAGTTCTTACACTAATTTCAGACTAAGTGCCATTCCACAGACAGCCATAAAAACAGTGTATTTGAAGTGACCAACTATTATAGGTTAAAAATAAATTAACTGGAAAGAGTATTTTCGTTATGGATTGTACCATCCCTGAAAACATAGTTAACAATCCAAGAAAGCAATCAACGCTATAAAGAAAGATCAAAAACTAAAGAGATAAATAAAATTCTTGAAAGTTATATTACAGTTTTATTATGTTGTCCTAAAAATAAAATATGTCTTAGGCAGTCATGCCGGGAAAGAAATTAATATGACAAACACCACCAAAACTACTTCAAGGATTTGACTGGCAAAGGATTTCACTGTCACCAACTGACAAAATGATGGTTTTAACAAACCTGTTTCGAATTGCTCTCCACCTTCTGCACAAGGTTATCCCAGCGCTGGGCAACATTTTCGAGACGACTTTCAAGCTTTTGAGCCACTGCTTTATTTTTCACAGCTATAAGGAGCTCTCGGCTGAGTGACTTCAGCTTACCCATCATTTGCCTTTTCATTTCTAGATCTCCTTTTAAGATCTGTTAAACAAAGTAACAGCAGAAAGAAGAGTAATTCATACAGGGAGGCGGCGGGGGAAACAAAACCCAACAAACTTAGAAGAAAAATCCTAAAGAGAGCATCATAAAGAACAGAAAACGGGTAAGGGTATTTCATACAACCTCCTATACTTCCATGTTGTTGTTACTGTAAAAACTGCTGGCAGAGCTGACATAGTGGAAGGGACACATTGCACTTCACAAAGCAATAGAACATGACAGGTGGAGCAACTTCAGACATCGCAGCATGCCTCCGGTGGCGACATAAATCAAAAAGCTAACAGCTGTGTGACATTAATAACCTTAAAACTGCACTAATGTTAACAACTATATCAACATTTCAAACAATGTTTCTTTAAAGTTTTGTTGTACTTTGTCATATATTGCATATTAGAACTCACTGAGAAAAAAATGTTTTCTAGAAAAATAATATTTGACCCCAAACCAGGATGAAAAAAGAAGAAAGCTCAAAGAAAATAAGTTTGGTTTTGGCAGCATGAAGAATCATGTATTCCTCCTCTTCCTCAGATCTCAGCAGGCTCTGGTTACATGGCAGTAGCCTCCCAGGGAATGGGGAAGCATTGGGAACCCCAGGAGCTCTACTGAGTGTGCCAAGAAAAGGGCCCTGCAGCTGGGAGCCTGGAAACTCCCGCATTCAACCTCTGCGTTCTGCAAGCCGCCATACAGCTTGAACCCATGGAAGCTAATGGAAAAGGAGAAATCAGCAGTCTTCACATCTCCACTGCAGTAAACTGCCAAGGGATCTTGAAACTCCTGAGATCTATACACGCAATCCTCTCTATGAAGTAGGCTCTTCACAGATCCAAGGGTCATCCATAGCTCCAGTTCTCACCTGGGTTTATTTTCTAATGCCTCTAACAGTTTACTCCATTGATCTTCATACCTTAAGCATTCATTCTCCACACTCTAATCTGTGCTAATCATGGCCAAATTTTGAACTCTCTATGCAGCTGAGCATTGCAATCTAATCCCCAAGGCATGAAAGGGAAAATTAAACAAATATTTAGGCAACAGAATTTAGTCTACATATACTTTCCTGCAGCCTTATCATCCAAAATTGTCATCTAAAATACAGCTCAGTAAAAGAAAGACTCGTAGTCTTTGTAATCAGTACTCTTTCCATTCCAATGTGGTTTGAAACATCATACTTACTAATGTTAGATACAGTTAATATCAAAATTTAAATTGACATGTCCGTAAGAAATAGCAACTAACTTTATATTTAAGAATCTGTATAGTAGCAGATCTAACAGAGCGAGCAGACTAGATGTAAAACAACTTACCATCTTAAAATTTCAAGGATTGCTATATTTGATTTTTTTTTGCCTACAGTGTCAGAAAAAGCTCACGTGAAAGCCACCACATACACTGACTGAAATAATAAAAAAATGGTACCCTATGAAACATAATTAGTGAATTCTGAACAGGAGTGTTTTATTTCCAACGTCCACAGGTGACAACAGCTGTATAATACACAAATGAGTTCAGCATCAATCCCAGATACATGGTGCACAATCAGTAAGTGAAACACTAGAAAGAGAAGGATGATAAAACTTTCTGTGTCAAAGGTACCGCTCACTACTACCTAATATGCTTTTGTGATAGCTACAGTTAACCTGTAAAAATATACTGGGGGATTCTGTTTTCACATTTCCTAACTGAAAACCTGTCAATGTGCTACAGTAACCAATAATGTGCTCTAGTTTTGGTTTTTTTCAGTACAAGAATAGACCTAAAATACTAATGAGCTAGCAACAAATTATGTAATTTACCAATCTGCAAGAGAATAAATGGTACTGTTTGCTTTATGAAATTAATTATCAAATCATAGAATCATAGAATCATAGAATCATCTAGGTT